TGTTTTTGCTGTAGACTGAAGACTGTAGACCACAAGATACAAACCACTCATTGGCAGCAAGGATCAGAAAGCCAGTTTGGAATTCGCAAACATATACAGAGATGAGCCACACAAGTTCTGGAACCGAGATTAAACTCTACCAAAGTGATGGAAAGGCCAAAGTGTGGTGAAGGAAAGGATCTCCTCATGATCCAAAACATACAATCTCATCTGTGAAACATGGTGGAGGTAGTGTCATGGCTTGGGCTTGCATGGCTGCTGGAACAGACTCACAAATCATTATTGATGTTTTAAATCATGATGGTAGCAACAGAACGGATTCAGAAGTTTCCAGGAACATTTTGTTTGCCAATTCGCAGAGAAATGCATCCAAATTAATTGGGAGGAACTTCATCATGCAGCAAGACAAGGATCCAAAACACAAAACCAACCCAACAAAAGACTTCATCGACCAAGTCAATCACCAGACCTTAACCCAATTGAGCAGCCTTTCACCTCCTGAAGAGGAGACTGAAGGGAGAAACCCCCTGAAATAAACAATAACCGATAGAGGCTGCGGTAAATGCCTGGAAAAGCATCACAATGTGATCTCCATCCCAAATAACTTTGGTGTACAGCACAAACAAATGAATTGGCCTTGCCGTTCCAATAATTTCAGAGGGGACTGTATTTTTCACCTGAGTGAAACATTCACCTCTATGCACTTTCAAATATTTCTAAAATCCTGTAAAATGATAGAATTATAGCTGGACCAACTTCGACTGTCCCTAACCCCCATGTTCTACTGACTCTGCTGTACATAAGACAAAAGGCCAATAAGATGGAGGAGAAAAGTTGGAGGGATGAGGGTGAGGTTGGTGGTACTAGTGCAGGTGATGTGTAAGGAATCCTGGGCATTTTCACAGCACACTGTATAAGTGGGGAGTGTATAACATGGTCTTAAATCACACACACACACACACACACATACACTCTCTCTCTCCCATTTACTCCACATGACCACATGTGTAGGATTTATTATTCGACTGTGTAAATATTCAGAGGAAAATTAAACATTTAACCTGCTTAATCTCTGTAGTGTCAGTGTAGGTTATTCACTTTTGTGTTTGTGTGTGTGTGTGTGTGTGTGTGTGTGTGTGTAAGTGTGATGTTTGAGGAATGTAACAAATGCCAGATCCTTCCTTTTTGTCTATTTAACATTGCACTGCTTCATGTCTCCCTCCTCTCACATTCCTGCCATCACTGTCAAACACACACACACACACACACACACACACACACACACACACACACACACACACACACACACACAGCACGTTCGAAAGCTTATCAAACGTTCACTATAGTGTCCCTCTAGCAGACAAAGGCATCCTGTCTGCTTTCTGTCCTCCTGCAGTGTGTCTTTAACTGGAGATGCTCTCATGCTGGAACACAGTTCACTCCATCCACTCATCCTCTCTTTAATCTCCAATGCTAAAGCCTCTCTCTCCATTACTCCCACTTTTCCTCTGCAGTCTTTCTTCATTTCTACTTTAAAAGGGATCATACTGCTATCGTGGACACACAAATATCCCCACTACCTCGTTCCTGTTTCAATTCGAGAGGAGGCTGCCTACGTAGGTCACATTACTGTGCTCCGGAAGTAAAGTATTTTAAACGGCTGCTTTCTTTATTTCACACAAATTTCTCCAAGTATCACGACCAACCAACGCGCAACCATATAACACAATTCAGTCCCACTGAAGGAGGCGTGGCCTCTGGGCATTTCAGTGTCAGTAAAGGGGTGTGGCCTCTGTGTCTGGCAGGCCTACTTTTACTTCTTACACAAGACTGATTCACAATAGCGTGCAACAACATATTGGATTGAAACAGCTCTAGAAGAAATCCCAACAAATACCTGATGTAAGCACGGAACGGACAAACTTCTGGCCGAAAGCAGAAACACATTCAGATGAGACTTTCCAAAATAAAATGGCACTCAAGATGCAAGCGATACCGCTGTGAGACATCTTGTTCTTTTATCCTCCTTTCTTTCTTTTATCCTTCTGTCACCAAGCCGTTTCTATTTATTGAAACACAGACATTCAGACGCGTATTTGTTGTATAGATCCTAGGGTGCGTTAATGTGAGCAAGACACTGCTCTGCTGTCTTTAGACAAAAACATGCGTATCGGTTTCCTCTCCTCGGGGCGAGGAAGATCTCTGGCATTTACCCTTAAATAACCTATAACATTTTGCTCGCTCTCTTTATTTCTAGGGGGGGAAAAAAAATCAAACCCACGTAATGCTTGATTTCACACGAGACATGTGTTGATAATCAGATATGCAGTATACTATGAAATTCAACACACAATACTAATCCACACGATACACAATGCTGTGTCCTTTGCTCTCTCTGGTTACAGTGCGTCTAATCTGGAAATTAGAATAAGGTCTTCTAAGTTCCTGTATTTTTGTTTAAATGGCATCTTTGTCAGGACATCTCCATTGTTTAATGTCCCCACACTTTGATTTAGATGAGAATATCCTGTTTAAATACCTTTTGTGTGACTATATATAATATATAACTATATTTATTTCACATGGGAGCACATAATCCGAAGGTGGATTATGGATTATGGTCTTCTGCGTTTCTTAATTCTGAACCATTTCAAAAAGGTTAATGCATATCCTTTCCAGACATGTAAAGCACATGTAAAGTTAATTAGTTCTCTGAACGTGATAAAGACATGCCAGAAAGAAAAAAAATGATTGCTTCACGGATGGTTGTGCGAAAAGTCTATGAACTTATGCTGGTGCAAGAAATGCCTATCTCACACACCCGGTTTAAGTGAGACATCGAGCAGCTTCCTGTGCGTGACAGCTGTTCTACCAGGCTTTAGTATCTGATTAACGATTAGCTCAGGCTCAGGGGAAGCGAGTGTATGAGTGTGATGGATGAGGAACATGCGGCCAGCGAGTCCCATCGCTCTGATTGATGAGTCTCTCAGACCTCGTATTAACCTTGACCACCATCTACAGGCTCCACCACTAACTAAATCATCAAGGCTAGTTAAGCATCAACGCTTCGTGCATCGACTCAAACTCCTGAAAGTCTTCAAAGGGCCTGATATATACTAAAATGCCACAGACACATATAAACACAGAGGCTAAGTGATAAGTGAGCAGCATCTGCAAGCTCTCAAACTCAAGGAAGGATCATTTCCTTTAAGTTACTAAATTGAGCACAGTTTCACAGTTTTCTCGTAGTAGGTCCAATTTTTTTTTTTTTGTAGGGACATGTTGATGGTCCCTCTTTTCATGGTTTCTTTAATAGTCTACATTTTTCATAGTCTCTTTGTAGGTCATTTTGATTTGATTGTGTCAGGTAATGGAGACGAAGGCGGAAGCAAGTGCTGGTAAGAGTTTAATCCAAATCAAAACAAGACACAAAACAGGATCTCTAGAACTCATGGCAAAAGATTAAAGACTAGGAAGCATAAACATAGAACAATGAACAGAACGTAGAAACAGAAACAATGTCAAAATAAGACAAACGCAAGACAATGGGTGCAGTGCAAAACGTGGCTTATGTACAGGTGATCATTAACCCCAGGTTAGGTGTCAGGTGAGGTGCAGTGGCTGATAGTGCCTGGTCCTTTTCTGGTATTTACATGACGGATGTCTTTGTATTAACATTTTGATGGTCCCCAGTTTCCTGATGTCTTTTTCTGGACATTTTAAAGGTTCCTGGTTTGCTAGTTTTTAATGTTGCAAATAATGTTTCACATTTTGCAATATTTTTATATTACTATTTATTGGAACTGCTCTGAAATATTCATTTCCATGGTGTTATTCTGTTCACCTGGGGCTGACTTCTATCAACAATGACTTGTACCAAAAACACCAACCTTTTTCCTGAAGTGAGCACAAATAGGTGTGTCAGCTTTATTCATTAACTGACGCTGTATGCATTGATGTTGGTGCTGTTTTGGCATTATTGTATCAAGTAGCTCTTTACATGACCTATTGAAATATTGTTTCAAGACTTCCTGAAATTAAGCACACTTCATGTTCCTTTCAACACGTAGGCCCATTTCCCGGCCATAAAGGTACAATGAGCTTATCCCTGACAGAATCTACTACACCCTGGAAAGGGCATCATATCAGATAAAGGTCTTCATATGTACTGCCAGATACAAGAATAATGCTTAGAGCTAAGAAACGTCTGTAGACTGCTTACTTTGTGGGGATGAAATGTCCCCGTGGACCTATTTCAATAGATTCTCCATAGATTAGGTTGGGCACAGTTTAACTGTTTTTTTTTATATAACAACATGCTAATGTTTTCCACTGTGATTGTCTCTCTCTCTGGGGATAATTTTGGTCCCCATTTTCATTGTTACTTTAAGGGGACATTTTGATGGCGTCCTTTTTGAGGGTGACTTTTGGGGACATTTTGATGGTTTCATTTTTTATAGTATTTTTGCAGACACATACTGTTTGTCCCAGTTTTCAGTGTATCTTTAAGGGGACATTTTGATGGTGTCCTTTTTGAGGGTGACTTTTGGGGACATTTTGATGGTCCCAGTTTTTAGGGTATTTTTGCAGACACATACTGTTTGTCCCAGTTTTCGATGTAACTTTAAGGCGACGTTTTGATGGTGTCCTTTTTGAGGGTGACTTTTGGGGTTGTCACTGTTTTTAGAGTACTTTTGCAGAGACATATTGTTTGCCCAGTTTTCTGTATAACCTTAAGAGCACATTTTGATGATCCCTGTTTAAGGTTGACTTTGGCAATCTTTGTGGAGACAGTTTGATGGTCCCCATTTTCAGAGTCATTTTGTAGGTACATTTTTAAAGTCCCCAATTTGATTGTTTTTTTATTTAGCAAATTTGCCAAGACCGTGCTTTGGTGGCCATTTTGTGTGAATAAGCCTACAATGCAAGTCTTTGGTCTAGGGGAGGAACCGGAGGGAACCCCCGAAGCACAGGGAGAACATGCAAGCACCGTGCACACAGGGCAGAGGCAGGATTCGAACCTTCAAACCTACAGGTGCGAGGCACCAGTGCTAACCACTAAGCCACTGTGCCTCCCTATGTTATTTAATATAAAACTTCATTATACTATAAGTAAAATTGTATATCAATATGCTTGTGTGTGTGTGTGTGAGAGAGAGAAATAGAAAGTGTGTGTGTGTGTGTGTGTGAATGTGTTTATGTGTGTGAGAGAGAGAGTGTGTGTGTGTGTGTGTGTGAGAGAGAGAGAGAGATAGTGTGTGTGTGTGTGTGTGTGTGTGTGTGTGTGTGTGTGTGTGTGTGTGTGTGTGTGTGTGTGTGTGTTTGTGTATAAGTTTGGGTGTGTATCTGGCAGGATATGCTTACACTGTTAAAATGTAAAAATCCAGGCTACTGTTATTTTGCAACAGGAAGCGTGTGACAAAATGGGATATCTTAATGAGGTTCTCATTTTTACACACACACACACACACACACACACACACACACACAACACACACACATACACACACACACACACAGGGCCCTCGACTAATATTGGCACCTTTGGTAAATATGAGCAAAGAAGGCTGTGAAAAATTGCAGTTAGTGTTTAACCTTTTGATTTTTGTTAAAAAAAAACAACACAAAAATACTCTACTCTACTCAGCGGCAGCTGTGGTAGAGCGGGTTGTCCACGTGGTGTTAGTGGTTCGATTCCCGGCCTGCATGACTACACATGCCGAAGTGTCCTTGGGCAAGACACTGAACCGCAAGTAGCTCCCGATGGTACGTTAGCGCCTTGCATGGCAGCTACCATTGGTGTGTGAATGGGTGAATGAAACACAGTGTAAAGCGCTTTGGATAAAAGTGCTATATAAGGGCGCCATTTAACATTTACTCTCAAGGATATATATAATAAAAAAAATCTTTGCTAAATTTAGGTGTACAACAATTATTGTCACCCCTATGAATTCCTATGAGAAAAATATATTTGAAGTATATTCCCATTTATATTTGACATTTTTTTAGTACACCTGGGTGACTAGTAACAGGAACTTGTTCAGCTATGACTTCCTGATTCACAGGGGCATAAATATGAGGTAACACATAGGCCAAATTCCCTTAGTCACTCATAACAATGGGTAAGACCAAGGAACATAGCTAAGATGTGCGACAAAAGGTTGTTGAGCTTCACAAAATGGGAAATGGTTAAAAGAAAATAGCAAAAGCTTCGAAAATGCCCATTTCTACAATCAGGGCAATAATTAAAAGTTCCAGTCAACTGGAAATGTTATGAATCAACCTGGAACAGGATGCGTGTCTATATCGTCTCAACGCACTGTGAAGAGGATGGTCCGAGTGGCCAAAACATCTCCAAAGATCACAGCTGGAGAATTTCAGAAATTGTTTGCATCTCGTGGTCAGAAAGTCTCCAAAACAACAATCTGAAGTCACCTACATCACCACAAGTTGTTTGGAACGGTTTCAAGAAAAAAGCCTCTACTCTCATCCAAAAACAAACTCAAGCACCTTCAGTTTCCCAGACATTACTGGAACTTCAAATGGGATTGGGTTATATGGTCAGATGAAACCAAAATACCAAAATAGAGCTTTTTGGCAATAAACAGCAGAGGTGGTTTTGGAGCAGACAGAGAAGTAACCATAAGGAAAAGTACCTCATGCCCATGGTTAAATACGATGGTGGCTCTTTAATGTTTTGGGGCTGTTTTTCTGCCGGAGGACCTGGACATTTTGTTAGGATACATGGCATCATGGACTCAAAATCAAATATCAAATATCAACAGATGTTAAAAGAAAACCTGACTGCTTCTGCCAGAAAGCTTCAAATGGGCCGTGGTTGGATCTTCCAGCAGGATAATGATCCAAAACATACATCAAAATCAACACAAAAATGGTTTACTGACCACAAAATCAAGGTCCTGCCATGACCATCCCAGTCCCCTGACTTGAACCCCGTAGAAAACCTGTGAGGTGAAGTGAAGAGGAGAGTCCACCAGCGTGGACCTCGAAATTGGAAGGATCTGGAGAGATTTTGTATTGAGGAATGGTCTCAGATCCCTTGCCATGTATTCTCCAAACTTATCAGGCATTATAGGAGAAGACTCAGCTGGTATCTTGGCAAAAGGAGGTAGCACAAATTATTGACTAAAAGGGAGCTAATAATAGTTGTAAACCTATATTTAAACATGCGTTTTGTTTGCTATTGTTTGATATCCATGAGAGCAGAGTATTTTTCTGAATGTTTTTAAAAAAAGGTCAAAAGTTTAAACAATAAAGAAAAAATTTTCACAGCCTTCTTTGCTCATATTTACCAAGGCTGCCATTATTAGTGAAGGGAACTGTACATACTCCCAAGCTCCCAAGGACAAAGGTGTATAACTGATAAAGTAGAGTTTCATATTTAGGTAATCTATATGTTAACGTCGACTCAGTGAGTGTGACTTCGGCCAATCGGTTTTATATCCGCAGAAGACAAGGCAGTAAATAATATTCATTGTTAAACATCACTCATTCTGTATCATGGACACTTCAAAATATAATTTTATATCATATAATATAAAATATTATATAATATGACTCCCTAGTTAGGCAGATTTTTTGGGCAAAGGTACTGTCTTTTAAGCATCCTTATTTAGTATTATTATTATTATTTTATTATTATTATTATTGATTTATTTACTTCCAAATTATTGCATAAAAGCTTGAAAAAACATGACAGACCGATCACTGTCTTTAAAACAATATAAAAGGAGAACTTAATTATTTGCATATGACCAACATGAACCTAAGATGGTCCTCTTCAAGTCATTGTGGTAAACTTTACATTAGGGTATCTTTATCTAACGTGATTTTCTGCATTTCAACATTAATACACTCTTAACACCATTTAACAACTTAAATAACACATACATGAATTTATTTATTTAACTAAATATGAAACATGTACATTAACTAATGTTAATTCCATTGTTGATTCCAAAATAATTATAGAATAATCAATATGAACCTTTTATGTATTTATGCAGTTTAGATATATTTTTTTTAAATAATCTTATATATTTTTTAAGTATTTTCAGTAATATAGATCTTAATATTAGTTTATATATGCGGCTTTGTTTGTGTGTGTGTGTGTGCGTGTGGTCTACCTGCCACAAGAGAAAAGAATTAGGTAGAATTAGATTAGATAGCAGAGACTATCCTTGTATGAAATGGTTTTCTTTAGACTGTTTGTTTTGGTAATCTATGGGAAATGCGTGAATGACAGACTGCCTGTGCCTGGAACACCTTCTATTGTGTATTGTATGTGTATGTGTACAGTCTCGCTCTCTCTCACATACGTGTGTGTGTGTGTGTGTTTGTGAAGAGAGAGAGAGTGAGACTGTGGGAACTAAGGGTGGTAGTAACGGCCGTGGTTCAGGTGGTAGATGGGTTACCATCGTAGTCAGCGGTTGATTCCGCCCACGGACTCCCAGTGCGCAGACATTGATCCCCAAGTTTCTCTTAATGGCAAGTTAGCACCTTGCATGGCAGCTCTGCTACCACTGGTGTGTGTGTAAATGGGTGAATGAGACACAGTGTAAAGCGCTTTGGAACTGCTAAGGTTAAAAAAGCACTATATAAGTGCAGACCCTTTACCATTTCTGTGCTGGATGTTGGTAAAAGCCAGCAAAAAAACTTCTCGCTCCAAACAAACCTGTTCTTAATTTTAGAAACATAGCCATGTGCACATCACATATGTATATATATATGCACACACACACACACACACACACACACACAAATATTACACCACTGGTGTAAACGTTTGTCCTTTGAACTTTAACCTTAACACCTATAATTATTTATATAATACGCTACACTTGACAAGTAATAGATTACACCATATATTACAATATTCGACAATATTCATATCGTAGTCCTTGTCACTGCATGACGTCTGAAATATTTAGAAATATAAGGGCTATTCAGACAGGATTAGTTTTATATGCGGAGGTAATCCCGTGCGAATTGGTCATGTCAGTTATTTTTCCGGACTTCTTCCGGACTGTGCGTCGATTCGTTCTCGCCATTTGTCCACTTTGACAGAGTGACAATTTATCGTTAACTTCCCAGAAAACCTCCTCCCAAACGGAACGATTACGTACCGTTTGTTCAAACGGTGTTTGATAACGCCGTTCTCCCCAAACTGAAACTAAATTGCGGCTTTTCTCTTGCTTCGTCTGTGTGTCGTTGGATTATCAAACACTGAGGTGCAGTACTATGTTACCTATGATGCATGGAGCTGCTTTGATGGGTCGTCAGCATGTAAACGGAAAAGACACGCCCATCTCAACAACTTCTATAGGAATTGTTTATCTCGGGCGAACTGATGATAAATACCACAGACGTCCGTAGTAACAATTACTTTACAGCCACATGTCCTGAAAACTAATCCCGTCCTGATAGGGCTACAGTCACAAAATGGAATAACAAAAATGGTATGATAATAGAAACCTTGATTTAAAAAAATTATATCGGGGCATGCATGCAATATATGTCACATCATCATTCTCTTCATTGGAATGAGAACATACACACACACACACACCAGCCATCAATGCTACGCATTACTATACACAGTGATATATATTCGCCACACCCATAGTGTGTTTATGTGTGAGTGTGTGTGTGTGTGCGTGTTGTGTGCAATAAAAATATCAGTGACATACTTGTATGTTCCAGAGGATGGGCGTTAAAAAGAGAGCATTCGGGGCATGTCTGTGTCTGCTCGCAAGTATCTATATGTGTGTGCAATGTGATCTGTGGGTTGATGGGATCAAATTTAGAAGAAGGCAGCACATAGCAACTACACCCACACACCTCATATCTATATGATGTGAACTATATTTGCTTTGCATCAGACCACTGCTATAGTCTGGTAAGACTAGTCTATTTGTTTCTTTCACATCTAAGCACGTTTTACGGAATATTGCTTCTATGGGAAATAGTGATATTCAACATCCGTAAAATTATTGTCATATAATTACATGGGTTTCTCTCGACATTCTATGCAAGCAATAAAATGAAAACAT